TAAAATTTCCTCCCAATTGAACATTCAAATAATTATGTTTAAGTGATATATTACATTGCATATAAAAAACATTATATAAATACATATATTCTATTGGACATTCAAATAGTAAACTTGATTTTGAATTTTAAAAATATATCGGATCCACAAAATAAAGGGTAATATGAAATTATAATTTTTTTATTAAAAATCATATTTTTTAACTGATATATTAACAGATATTAACAAAAAGAGGAATTATGTATTCCACATGTACAAACGTCATAAAATACATGAGTAATATTCTAAATGTGAAAGGGTCTAAATGATTAAGTGACGAGCATGAGGAGATTTAGGTATAATTTATCAATTTAATTTTAAACAGCAAATTAATGACGATTAGTTTTAGGTATATATTGATACAAATTTCTATTTTTGAGGGTGTAAATTGAGATTTTTTATCATTAGGGGTGTACATTGATACAAATTTCTATCTTTTAAGGTGCAAATTCAAATTTTTTATCTTTAAGGGTATAAATTAAAATTTCAACGATCTTTCGGGGTACAATTTACAAATATCCCAAATTCTTTTTATGCGTATCATTGTATATAAACCGGGGATGAGAGGTATAAAATTTAAAGTCATTTATAATGCTCTGCATGTCTAGTTTCATATTCACCCAAATTTGTTGTGGATACTCGTATAAGAGACATATAAAGAAATAATATTAATTATTGGATGTGTATGATGCATGTGCATTGCGTTTTTTCGTATATTCGACGAGTATTATGTCCAATATAATACAAAACTTGACCCAAATGAAATATACACGGTTCATTAAATTAAGGAAATATTGTGAAAAGATTTCATACGTGATCTTGACATTGGTGAGATATTTGCCTATGTTTTCTTTGACCCAGCCTCTGGCATCGTCGGTGGTGTTTACTTCGTCCAAGAGAATACTGGGTATGGAGACTATGACTTCAATGTCCGTGTAGGCGAAGGCTGTGAGAACAGCGTCGTTAAGGCTGAACAGTTTCACCTTTTTGATCCCATTTTCCAAAAGCAAATCGATAACCATGGATGGAAGTAGTTTCTGTGTGGTGTGCCTGCCCCAATTCAGCCCCAGACGTTGCGACAAATCGGCCTGAGCCGAGAAGAAAAGCATACAGAATGCTAATATCAACACCAGGGTACGGGCCATGATTGTACGTGTTTGAGAAAATTGAAGGAATCTAACAATATTAGAAGAAATGCAAATTGATCAAAATGTTTATATATATGAGAGAGACAGAGAGAGAGAGGATGACTTAACAGAGGTTTTTGATGATGATTTTGGTCAAGAACAACATATTCATTGCTGTTTTTTATTGAAAAAAGAGGACGAGTTGGTTTTCCTTGATGGATTCTTCAAATGTTAGTTTGAGTGTGGATAAGGGCGATTGCGTAAATATAGCACACTGACAGCTATTTTTAACCGGTCAAATTAAACATTTCAACAAGCTAAGAGTTGCACGGTGGAATTTGTCTTAAATTAGTTAAGATATCCTTCGCAAAGAGGATCTTTATCCCAAACGAAAAAAAAAGTTCAAGGTACAAATCTTTCGTCATTATTTCAATTAGGCAGTGTGCTTGATTTTATTTTAATTTTTCAATTTCTTGTATCAAGATGCATTTTTGCCTTATTTTAATAATTTCTATGTAATTATATTGCATCGAGGGGTAAGGTACATACGTCCCCCTGATTTGATGTAATTTATTCTTTTTATCAATAAAATCTCCTTCGCACCATCGAGATTTCACCAATAAAAAAAGAAAAAAATTAGGGGTGGCTCAAGACAATTTGGAACCTAAAACAATACTTTTAAATAAGATCTTTTATTTTTAGTATTAATATTTTTTATTTAAAATTAATTTTTCTTGCTCTTTGAGATGCAAAAGTATTAATTAAGTTTTTATATTCAAGTTTTGCTACCATATATTTTTCAATTGATAGTATCACTAATTCAGTTAATATTTCTTGTGACATAGTCAATCTTAAGTAAAATTTTATCAATTTTAATTTTGAAAAGCCTCTTTCTGCATAAGCAACTATTACAGAAATTATTAACAATATTATATAAGCAATGCATGCATTTGAAAAGGAATTTAACATTTTTATATAATTTAGTATCTCAATTGGAATATTTTCTTTCGTTTGTAAATTTTTTTTTAAAAACATTTAGTTCTAAAAATAAATCTAAACCATCAATATTGAAAAAAATTTTGTGTTTCAAGAAATATTTGAGATCCAAACAATATTGTTTTAAACTATCTTTTGGTTAATGATAATATCATTGGTCATATTATTAGTATATTATAACTATATAACAACTAAACAAACAAAATATATAGTATAATTAAAATATATAACAAAAAAATTTAAAATTATGAAACAATAGAACCTGACTTGAATAATTTCAAATGTTAGTTTTTTCCTTCTAAACCATGTCCTTATGTTGCAATGAAAACTCGAGTTGATGATGAAGGATGAAGTGGAGGACAATTCACCGTCTTTACGTCTCATTGTCGTCTGTTACTGTGAGTGATCTTTGAGTTAAGACTTGAGAGCAGTGAGAGAGAGAGAGAGAAAAGAAGAAGAAGAATTTTTTTTTTGTTTCAGTTTAACGAGAGAAAGAAAGAAAAAGAAGAATTGTTTTTGTGTTGATTGGTTTACCAAGAGAGACATAGAGAGTTAAAAAATAAGGTATGATTTAACTTTTTGATTTTTTTTTTAATTTGATGATGTTTTAGTTCAGCCTTTTTTTTTTTTATAATACTGTTAATTTTTTTTAGATATTTAATATTTGGATTGGATTATGGGCCTAAATGGTTGATTGAGATTATATTTTTATAATTTTTTTTTTACATGAATTATTTATAGTGTTTAAAAATTTGAGGCCTTCTTTTGAAACGGGCCTAAAGCCATACTTTTTTAAGCATGCTGTTGGGCCGGCCCAAGTTGATGGCTATGATTCCCAGTGTAATGATGGTTTTGTATAAGTTTTTCACTCTGAAAATATTTTAGGCTTGCATGTTAACAATAGATAGAATATGATCGAATTAATTATCTGTAATATGAATGATAACCCAGGCTTGCAAATACTGTTAGGCCCCGTTTGGATAATAGTAATGTTAATTAGGAATGGATATTTCGTCCCAGTAAAAAGATATCCGGGTTTTAAGTATCGTAATAATTTGTTATTTGGTACTGTTAGTATTATTTTGAATAATAAATTTTATTTTTCAAACAAAAATAATTTTGAAAATATAGCTTGACTTTAGGAATGAACTAAAATTTAGGAAGGGGTTTGAATTTGATTTTTTTTTTTTCGGTTTTAAAATGCCCAATTAAGTTGGGTATGCGAATATGACTATTGATAGTGGGTTTAATATTCTTATCATCATTGAGAATTTAATTTCAATAGTAATCTTATTCTCAATATAAATTATTGATTTATGAACCACCCAAACATAGTAATCCATGGATTAGGAATTAAATTACCATTCCCAACCAAGATGACCACCATCCAAGTGAAGCCTTAAGAGATGAACTTCAGGGAAGGGAGGTAGTCTTCTAAACTGATTGGACTTGAGGGTGCTTAAAATGCAAAAAGAAATATTTATAATTGGGTGTACATACGTCTAGATTAGTATTAAGCTAACCACATTGCTTGAATTCACTTTTGTCATGTGTCCAACTACTAATTTACTTTTTGGAACCACTAATTTTTTCAATTGTGAACTGATGTTCCACAACAACAAAACTAAGAGCACTACGAAAGAAGAGATGGAGGGAAAAACTATTTCCACTCTCCATTATTGATTTGGTACATAAGAGCATCTTATCGAGAGACAATGCTCGTTTTGTTCAAACTTCTTGACTATGGTATTTAGTGGAATGTCATATCAAGCCTTGAATTTGTCTTTGTTTTCGAAAGTTTCTTTCAAATTCATCCTACGTTGCCCATCTAGATAATTATATAAAAAAAAATAGAATTTGAATGAAGAACTAATGTGTGAATCTATTTGATCTACACCGAGCATAATAATCCTATTGTGGTATTGTGTGTGGATCTGGTTCATTACATGGTTAATATACTTTTACACTGGTTGATCAAACATTCCATCTTCAAGATGTGATGATTTTCAATAGTCCAATTTGTGAGCTATTGTGGTCTCTTCTAATTTTCCATGTTACAATATTTGATACTGGCGATAGAAGGGCTCCATTTCCTAGGAGAAATCCATGAGATTGCTAAGGGTTAAATATCATTAAGTTATTGTTAAAAAAGGTCACAACGTGACTAACCTCAACATATAGTGCCGCAACCTAAAAATATTTTCTTTATGCTTCTTCAAACTTAAGAGTGAATCACACTTTGTACCCTAAAAAACTTAAATTCTCAATTTGCATCCCAATGATTTATTTTTTCACATTGCACTCTTAATGTTATAAAATAATTGCAATATAGTCCTCACACTAATTTATGTTGTCATTTCCATCAAATCTCACTACGTTTAGTGTGGGAGCCACATAGTAGATTTGACAAAAAATTATAGCGAAAGTTAGTGTGTGTGAGGCCCACATTACATTAGTTTAAGACATTGAGGGTTCAATGTAACAAAATTAATCATTGAGATCCAATTGAGAATTTTAAAATCTTTCAAGTGCAAAGTCTAATTGACCCCAAACTAAAATCTATGTTATAACGCCAAACGAAGTTAATATTTGTTCGGGAAGAGTATAAATCCATTAACTGGATCACAGTCATCACATACAATGCAAAGAAGATCATCAGCAATGCAACATTAACAGTATGTGCCGATGCCTTGGCTGTCCATCCTCTGTCCTGAAGGCTCATCAGTATCTCCACAGGAAATTCGCAGTCTCCCTTTTCTTTATCTTTTTCTTTCGAACTTGAATATATGATTATTTGCCAACAGGTATAATATTGGTACAGGACGAGTAAAAACCCATTCACCATATCACAATCATCTCATACAATGCAAATAAGATCATCAGGAGTGCAGAATTAACAGTAAGTCCCGACGCCTTGGTTGTAACTCCTCTGTCTTCAAGGCTCATTAATATCTCTACAGGGAATTCACATTTGCCCTTTCTAGGATTTTCTGTTACTACCTTTCCTAATCCCTCAAATTGACACACGAAATCGTTTGCCTTCTGGGTCTTAATTTGGTAATACATATTGAAAGCATAGGAAACTTGATGGTTAAAATCCAAGTCACTGCAGGACCCTCCAGATGCTAAGCTCGAACAATCCGATAAATTACATGCCAAATTGAAATTCCTCTGGACCTTGATCATGTCCCGGACATCATTGTTAAACACGCACCAACGCAGTGGCATGACAACAACTCCCTTAGTTGGATTGGGATAGATGTCACGCCCTTGCCCTGTGAAATCAATCTTGAACTTAGGAGTTCCATCAAATTTGTAAATCCCCCAGTGGCGTTGATAGCCACTACGGGCAATTTTTATCTTGTTTTCATCTTGTAGATTATAGAGATATGCTTCCAAAGGCTCAGGCCTGAGTGGGGTGCCTTTCTCACTTGCCATTCTCCTGAGGAAGCCTTTGAAGAACCTCTCGGAATTCACGAGGTTGGCTTCTTTCGAACCATCCGTTGGCCATCCAATCTGGCCAACAACTATTTTCATATCAGAAAACCCATTCTTGTTTAGTGCCGAAACATATGCATCATGGGCTGCATCGAATGCATTTCTATAGGTGATAATATTGTCCTGAATCGTATGATTTGAGTAATTGTCGAGAAACAGGAATTCAATGTCAGTCAGATTAAATTGATCGATCAGAAAGATCGGAGAAATGTTTGCTAGGAAGGGGGCATCATGGACCCTGAGATGCCTTAGAACTTGAAGCATGTAGTCCTTGATGTCATCGCGAAAATCGGCATCGGATGGTTTTACCAGAGGGTATGGTTGTAAGGTATCAGAAAAATGGGGGATGTTTGCTTTGATGTGCCCATAGCCTGCCTCATTAAGAGCTGTTTGAATGTTTTTCATTACTGATATAACCTTCAAGTAACCTTGCTCATCGTCTACTGCAGAAAACGGTTCATTCCCAATAACTACAGTCCTGTAAAAGCAACCAAAAAAATTTGAAGATTAGTAATGAAAGAATTCTATGTAAGAATCATGGATATGAATATTGGATAGGGGTAGAATACAACACAAACACAAAGATACAACAAAAACTAAAAAAAAAAAAAATAGAACACACTAAGACTAGTAAATAGGATAAAATTTATTTTATATTTCTACTATTGCCTCGAGATTTTATATTATGGATTTCAAAAAATTCTTTAATTATCAATCAAAAAATAATTGAATTTTACTTTCAAAGAAACATGAATTTTCTCATCATGGTATATACACAAAGCAAAATTGTCTAATCAAAAGAATTTTACTTAGAAGTTCTAAGGGATATAGTGCAATTAATAAGTTTTGTATACTTCATATTTGAGACATATCAATAAATAATAAAATATTATATTAATTATTAGATGCATATGGTATATATTTGGTACCTATTTTTGAATATCTGATAAATAGTATATCCAATATAATACATATTTCGATCCAAATGCAGCATCCGTCATTCACAATATTAGACATCTGAAAAGGAGAAAAATGTGGAAAAATTTTCGTACGTGATCTTGACATTGGTGAGATATGGGCCGATGTTTGTTTTCACCCAGTCTCTGGCATCATCCGTGGTGTTTACTTCATATAGGAGAACACTAGGAATAGAGACCATGAGTTCAATGTCCGTGTAAGCGAAGGCCGTGAGAACGGCATCGTTCAAGCTGAAAAGCTTCACCTTTTTGATCCCATTTTCCAAAAGCAAGTCGATCACCATGGATGGAAGCAGTTTCTGTGTGGTGTGCCTACCCCAGTTCAGGCCTAGATGCTGTGATAAATCGGCCCGAGCTGAGAGGAAAAGCATATAGAATGCCAATATCAACACCATGGCCCGGACCATGATGGTGAGTGTTTGAGAAAATTGATAGGATTCTGGAAATACTAGAAGTAATGCCAATTGATCGATATGTGTCTGAGAGAAAAAAGAGGGTGATTTAACGGTGGTTGTTTATGATGATTTTGGTTAAGAACAGCATATTCATTAATTGCTGTTTTTGACCCACCAAATGTGGCATTTCATTGACAAAAAACAAAAAGTGTTGTTTTTCCTGATGGATTCTTCTAATGTTAGTATGAGTGTGGGGGAATGTCTATCGTCTGAAAATAGCGCTCATGACTATTTTTAACCGGATAAATTAATTATTTCAACAAGCTAAGAGTTGCATGACGGACTTTGTTTTATATTAGTTAAGATGTGGATCCTACCCAAAAAGGATCTCTATCACAAGATTAAAAAAATAATAATAATATTCCGTGTACAAAGTACCTGAAGCGCCAAATGTATAAACCTTATTCATGCTACAATGGAACTATTTTCTTAACTCAAAACAGTGATAACCAGGCACAAGCATAAGGTTATCAAGGTCAATTATTAATGGCTAATGGCTGTAATTAGTATTATGTGAAGAGCTGTCATTATTCATTCTTCATTAGCATACACCATGTTTGTCAGTTTTGGGTCCTTCTTTGTTTAACGGTTATTATGATAATTAAATGACACCTTTTTTATTTTCTGAAATACAGGTTTTGGATAATGATTTTGGTCAACATCATATTCGCTGCTGTCTTTAACCCCTAAATATGCTGAAAAAGAGTTACTTTTCTGACAAATTAATTCTACAAAATTAGACTGCCCTAAAGTATAGGCTAACTGCACTATAAGAGAATCTCTATCCCAAGTACAGATAATTCTGATTGTAGAAGAATAGCACACTAGTGGCTCTTATTACCCACCAAATAAAGCATTTCCATTTTCAAAAGTAGAGTGGGGACAATATAGATTGTTTGAAAGTAGCAATTCCAGGGATTTCTTTCTTATATCTTCATACAGAAGTTAAAGTAGTCGTTGGCAATAGATTTTTCATAAACTTTGACAACGATAATTGGAGAAATTCATGCCAACACATACCTATGACTACGTTTCTTATTTTTACATATATGATTTAATGTTTGAATGATTCTAATAATTTAAAGAAATTATATTTCTGTGTGTGTGCTTGTGTTTGTAATATAATTGTGTGTGTGTTTGTACATGCATTGGAATGTGTGCGTTGGAGTGTATGTATGTTCAGTTGTGTGTAATGGAGTGTGTGTGTTAGATTTTTGAAATTTGGGAGGAAAAAGTGTGTGTTGAGTGTGCGAAATTTAGGGGGAAAAATATATCTCATAAGTTCAAACACCTATCTAATTTATTATATAGATTGTGTGCGTGTTTGTGTGTCTAGTAATTGCGAGGTGTAACAGAAATTAAACCTCCACCATTTACGCGGCGTAAGATCCTGGCAAAACCTAAGACCCTATAACATCTTCTGGCTGCTAATGAAACATGTTTGCTGGCTGCCAATTTTAGTTTTTGCAGATGGACTTGGTAGCCAGGAAATGGCAGGAAGTAGTCTTGGGTTGTCCCATGGAGAATATATGCAGCTCAATTAATTGAAAGTATCTGATATTTAGCAATAGAGGCTTTAGACTTGGCATTTCATTTGAATTATATAGCAATACATGATTCTGGTTAACTTGCACTTGTTGGCCTCGGATTAAAATTAACTACCAAAATACTTGATTCTCGGATTGAACCCAAAATATGTTTTACAGAATTCCAAGAATGCTAGTTTAGTTTCGGATAAGTCTGTCTCAATTGATAGCTGTATATAATTTGCAGAGTTCACAATCAGGAAGGATATACATATAAAGTGCTACTTTTTTATTGTTGAGCCTCTTCTGGTCAAATGCTGTTTGTCTCACTTCTTGATCTTCATTTTCATTAAAATTCTGGCACCATGGTCCTAGTTGAACCTGCAAGACATATATATATATATATATATATATATATATATTTGTTTTTAATGCAAACGGGTCTCATTTCAATGGTTCGGAGGAAGGGAGGGCTTAGCCAGGGTAGCAGCACTACAATGTCTTGGAACAAAATTATATACAATCTCGATGTTTAAAGCCAAGCTCTGGTAGAGGAGAGTCTTGAATTATTGATGATTATTTTTAACCCGGGCTAGCGATAATTCATGAATCATGATGATTCATAAATGCAAGTGACAAATTGTAACACCCCGCATTTTCTTTTATATATGTATATAGATATATAGTAAATAATTGTGGTAAAAAAAATGTGGATATATGTAGTGATGTGTGTTTCAATTTGGTAGATTGGAAAAATAGAGATTTAAAATGTTAGTGAAAATAATTGTTGAAATTTAGTTTTAATAAGTGAAAATATGAAATTTTAGGTCCTAAAACTTGTATTAAATAGGTTTGGTGTAGAAATATGTGTTGGAGAGGTTTGAGATGAATTTGGTTGGCTTACGAATGGATTGGAAATGGAAAAGGGACGAAGACAGGCTGTGAACAGTGCACGTGAACAGTGCACTGCTGCAACTTCAAGCTCGATTTAGACCATGATGCAGTCAATATCTCTCAAAACTCAAAACATGAAAGTTTTAGAGCTCTTTCGTATCATTCCATAGTATCTTGAATCATCTCAATCTCAGCTTAGATGAGAGAGTTATGCTCAGATAACAAAACGATGTCGAAATAGTCCAATTAGCTTCGTTTTGCATTTAATGTCTCCATTTGCATCCTAAATTAAAATATAAGAATAATGAGTACCTTTAGGATTCAAATAAGTATAAAAGGCTTTAAGAAACACCATTTATCATCTTTTATTTGCAAACATCGCAAAACTTCATTAATAGCCGATTCGGATGAGTAAAATAGAAATTTTAGTGTTTCGGGTGTACGTTGACTTGAGTTTTGAGATAAATCATAAAAATAATTGTAATGAATCTGGAACGTCGACAAACCTTAGGGTAGTCATATGGATCAAATTGGAGATTCTTAGTGGCAAAACCGTTAATTTGAAGAAATTCAAAACAGCCTGTGAACTGTATTTTTCGGAGCTGCTATGTTTTAAACTCATTTTCATCTCATTTTCTCTCATTTACTTCACTCCCCTCACACCCCCACACCTCTTGAAACCCTAGAGGGCATTAGAGAAGAAGAAAGGAAGAGAAAAGCAAGAGATTCAAGGGTGATTCAAGATTAAATATTCTTGTTCTTTACTCCAAAGCTAAGGATTCAAGGTAGGAGTTTTCTCTCATTCACTTACATTAAAGCTAGGGCATTTATATATGTATGTTTTGGCTATCAATGGTATATACATGCTATGGAATCATCCTTTCTTAGGCTTTTTACAATGATTACATATTTTGAACAAAGTAGGGTTTAATACCCATGAAATCTCTTTTCTAGTTTTAAAACCCTAATTTTTAGAGAATGATGTATTTCCTTCCTAAATGTTTTCTTTAATATAGATTTCGAAACCTTAGTGCTTTGTGTAGGGTAGAAAAATGATATTATTGTGATCTCATGTATTTTCTTAGTTGGTTGTGGAATTGTTATATGATATATTTTAGAGATTTTGGATAGATGCTTGTAAATTGAGATAAATGTTAGAATTATATACTTGGTTGGGTTGTTTGTGATGCACATGAGTGAGAGGTTCCTTGTAAGGATGTTCACCCCTTCCCAAGAGGTTTCCGGTAAGGATGCTTGGAAAAAAATATAAAGATTGGTGAGAGGTTTCATGTAAGGATGCTTATCCATTTTCAAGAGGTTCCCGGTAAGGATGCTTGAGAATCAAAGGTGACCTAAAGGAGGGTGGAGGTTACCACAAAGTATGCCACCTACCGAAAGAATTATTGGGAATTGGTTATGACAATTAATGGTTATTATTTGTATGTGGTGCTCGTTTATTCATTTAAGTAATATTTTTACATAAACTTGAGATCCTTTTTAAATGTCACTGCTTTATTTCAAATTATGTATCTATGTTATGCTAAAATTGAGACCGACCGTTTTAAATGTTTTTCTAAACCTTGTATGGGTTTGGGAGAATTTTTCTATAGAGCTTCGTGCTCACCCCCTATCGCTAACATTTTTCAGATTATCCACTTGAGGAGGAGGACGTAAGGGTCGAGGAGCCCGCTACTTGGGAGACTCCACTGGACGGGAGTGTGAATCCCGAGGTGGACATTCTTTTGGAACATTGTGTAGTCTAGCTTATTTTGTTTATTCCGCTGCGCTTCTTTAATTAATTTTTGAGATGTAATAGTCATGACTTGAGCTTATTCTTTTGGATAATGTTGTAAATATTCGTGGATGACAAATGAAGTCTTTTTTTTCTTAAGGGATTATATTAGTGCTCTCATGATATGAATGGTTTTAGAATGTAATGCCGTCCAGGGTGTGTTTTAGGGTGTTACAAAGTTGGTATCAGAGCTTAGACTTTAGGTCTTACATGGGAGCTGTAGGTTATGGAATCACCTCTAGAGCTTTAGGATTAGGGTGAATCAAATCCTTGAGTGAAATTTTATACACGTTCTATGCCTTAGTTTAACCTAATATTTAGGATGTCCTATACATCCATGAACTAAGTTGTGAATTGATGTGCAGAATGAACGGACGGGGACGCGGACGTGGGCGTGGCCGTGGAGGTCAACTGAATCCACCACCACCATCACCTCCGAATGCCATGCAAGGTATTTACTAATGCTTGAGGGAGCTCATCACTTTGGTACGAAACTAAAATGGTAACAACAACCACAATGGTGGAGCTCATCCTCTCGCTCAAGTATCGGACAATGGGAATGGACACCGAAGGATGATAGCTCTTCGAGAATTCTTAAGACAACGACCACCCAATTTTCAAGGGAGCTCCAATCCTTTGGAGGCGGATAGATGGATCCGCTGAGTGAAGAAGATCTGTGATGGCATGGGAGTTGTCGAGGAGTTGAGAGTTGGTTTGGCGACCTACCTGTTTGAGGGGGA